TGAATTTTTAAATGTTGCCTTGGCCCAAAATAATGCCTTATAATAAGAAATAGCATTATTTTTAATTTAGTATTTAAGGTTCAGTTACCTACTAATGAACAAAGTAGCACAAACAAAGTCAGGTGGCAAAATCTATCCACCAATTACACCATGTTCTTTATGGAAGACATGTGCCAAAAAAACTAGAAAAGGAACCCAGTAAATGAGTAAGATAGCCAGGTGTAGGACACATGTCTGTAATCCTGACACTCAGAAGACTGAGACAAGTTCCAAGCTAGTCTAGCCTTCATAGTGAGAGTATGTCTGAAGAACAAAAACTAGCCAAACAAAAATAAATACATGAAACTTTTTCTCAGTGCCTATAGGAAAACTGGAAACAAACAAACAAAACCCTAGTTTAAGCAATAGACGAAATGGGCTTGTGACTAAACCAAATTTAGCCCATTACCCATTTATCTCTAGCCCTGTAAGCCAAGGTAAATAGAACTTTGAGTTGCTGACACATTATCTTCCCACCGATAATTCAATAATGTTGATGTTCTTTGGAGTAACAACTTCCAAAGCTATTTCCCCACCCTTGTCTGTGAGAAATGAACAGAAGTTAGTGGGTGAAAGGCAGAGAAGCTGTGTAACATGAGTTGATTTATTTGAGGCAGCCTTTACTTTCTCCCAATGTAGAACACAGACATAATGGCTGGAGCACAGAAGCATTTGTAAACATAATTTTTTGTCACATAAGCTAGCACTACAGATGGGAGAGAAAAGTTTCTAAAAACTTGTGATCATGGAGTTTGCCACAGAAAACTATCTTGTGTGTGTGTGTGTGTGTGTGTGTGTGTGTGTAGCTGGGAACTGGGCACATGCTGCTTCACACCACCTGACCAGGTCTTCACAACCCAAGAGAGCCTGGCCTCTGCCAATAAGCCATGCCATAAATCCAGGACCCCAAAGCTATTTGCAGAATGAACTCCCACAACACTGGGTCAGTTTGCAATTCCAGCAAAAGGGAACAAGGGTTGTCTTTTCTCTAGATCCCCTGCAGCATCTGTTGTCTATTCTTTTGTTGATCTTTGTTACTCTGACTGGCGTAAAATGAAATCTCAAAGTTGTTTTGATTTGCATTTCACTAATTGTTAGAGATGAACAATTTCTGAGGCATTTCTTAGCCTTTCATTTTTCTTTTTCAAACCCTCTATTCAGGTCTCAAGACCATTTGTTTTCTTTATTTAGAGGTGGTTTTTGTTTGATTGTTTTGTTATTGTCATTTAACCCTTTGTTTTTTTGTTTGGGGAGGTTGTTGTTGTTGTTTATATATTCTGTATATGCTCTGTCAGATATATAGCTGGCAAAGATTCTCTCCCATTCTTGGGCTTCCTCTTCACTCCACTGACTTTCTTTAGCTGTGCAGATGTTGGCCTTAATTCTTGGCTAAATGGATTCCTATTCAGAAAGTCTTTCCTATACCTATATCAAGTAGGGTATTGCCTATATTTTATTATGTATTTTATTATAGCTGTTTCAGTATTGGGGTTTCTCAATGTGTCTGTTTTAATACCCACCACTCCCAGTTGGGTTTCCAGTCACATAGTCACATAGGCCACAGGCATGTAGCTAACAAAAACTTGTCTATGTTTAGAGCTTTCTGTTAAAACCATTTTATGATTTAAATGCAGAATGTTCCCAATTGGCTGATGTATTTGAAAACTTGGTCCCTAGTCACAGGCATGGTTTGGGAAAGTTATGGAATTTTTAGCAGATGGGATCTCACTAGTGCAAGTGTATGTCTGAAGAAACAAGTTTTCTGGGTTATTATCCAACCCATGTTCTTGCCTGATTCTGCTGAGATTTAACAAGCAGTGTCCTCAAGCTCTGGCCACTACCAAAAACACACAACTATGCCTTCTTTCACTTGAGACACTGAATCTCCTCAAACTTCAGCTAGAATAAACCTTTCCTTCCTTAAGTTGTTTCCATTGGGAATTTTGTCACATCTATGAAGACAGTAACTATTACAAACATTAAACACATTTCCTGAGTTGAAATTGTGTCCTAAACTTTATATATAACAATGAAAATTAAAAGTTGAAAGATAATTTTCCCATAATTCACCTATTTCTGAAATTTCACACAAAAAGAGTTCTAGATACTTCACCTTGCTCCTCTGGAAGGTCTAAGTTACTTTGCTATTTTGAAATAAATTGTCACTAGGTCTTTAGAAAGGATGGAAGGTGGTCACCTTCCGTATGGCATCTTAGTTATCATCAGAACTTCACTATTTAAAGTCATACAGTAGCAAGAAATCAGTGTGCCATGAAATAAAATTAATACATGTTTTCTCCTTGCAAAGCACTGTAGTAAAGTTCATCACAGACACACATTTCACAGCATACTAAAATGTCAGCTTTCTCCAGCAGTCATTCAACAGAATCAATAGTATGATTTTTAAACTAAAATCAAAATGCTGTAGGACATATAGAAACAGAAAAATAGAATTAACAAGCATGCAACACTAATGTTGTTACCAAGTTTGAGTCCAGCCTGGGCCATAAAGCAAAACCTTGTGACATTAGTTAACTAATTTCCATTACATTAGGCAAATAAAATTATACAGATATTGACCAAAAGCTATGATTAATTATAAAAATGCCTTTAATTCTGTAGTTCCAGCTTTTTTATTTCCTCAAAGCAATTTCCAAAACTTTTATGTGTCTACATACTACAAGTCTCCTATGTCAGTAAAATTTTTTTATCCATAGTACCAAACAGTGAGGACTTCTTACAAAGAGCTTCATCCTTCAAAAGAATAGTCTGTTCAGAATACAAACATACATAAGAAAAATAAATAAAGACGACCACAAAATTTACACATAGTAACATAGACTTAGAGTTCCACTTACTCAAAAATTGAGGCAAGGAAATTCCTTGAGCTCGAGAGTATAGCCAAGAATGAGCATCATAGTAAGATCTATAAAATTTTAATTTTGGGGCTGGAGAGATGGCTCAGTGGTTAAGAGCACCGACTGCTCTTCCAGAGGTCCTGAGTTCAATTCCCAGCAACCACATGGTGGCTCACAACCATTCGTTATAAGATCTGGTGCCCTCTTCTGGTGTGCAGATATACATGAAAGCAGAATGTTGTATACATAATAAAAATAAATAAAATCTTTTTTTAAAAAATTTAATTTTACAAAAGGATCCATATCAAGTGTGCCACGCACACACACAAAATCAAAAGGGCACATTCAGTTTTTACCACTACTTTTCTTTTTGATATTTGGCATAAATTCAGTTTTCACATTGGTAAATAATTAAAACCATCTGCAATGTGAGTCAGTAGATAGAATGCATCTTGGAGCAATCACATCACACATTAAAGATGCACAGACAAGTCAGCAGATTACTTACCTGTGATCAGATATACAGAGACTCCTCAATCTTATTTTGCTACTGAATTTATGAGGTGCACATAAATATGGAGAAACTCTTAACTGCACTAAAATCACATAGGTATCAGTGTTTTTCTGTTAGAATAAGTAAATTCTACTTAAAAACAACAGTTGCTAAGAAAATCTAATTATATTTTAAAAGCTAGGAATGAAAAATTATATTTTGACAGAATCTGTAGCTAAATTTTATTTTTTAAGATTTTCTATTTGAATTAGAAAGATTATTTTACATGTCAATCCCAGTTCCCTCTCTCTCCCCTCCTCCCCTCCCCCCCCCAACTAACACCCTACCTATCCTATA